CTCAGATCCTTTTAAGTATTTCAAAAGGTCCAATGTACCTAGGACTCAACTTGCCTTTCTTCCCGAATATCATAACGCCCTTCATAGGCGAAACCTTTAGTAGAACCTTCTCCCCAACCATGTAAGACATATCGCAGACCTTCCTGTCGGCATAACTCTTATGTCTAGACTGCACCGTGCGAAGCTGCTCCTGAATCAATTTAGCCTTGTTCAAGGCATCCTGAACCAAGTCAGCACCTAATAGCCTAGCCTCATCTGGCTCAAACCAACCCACTGGAGACCGATACCGTCTCCCATATAAAGCCTCATATGGAGCCATCTGAATGCTCGATTGGTAGCTGTTATTATAAGCAAACTCCGCTAGCGGTAGGAACTGATCCCAAGAACCCCCAAAATCAATGTCACAAGCGCGTAACATATCCTCCAATATCTGAATAATGCGCTCAGACTGTCCGTCCGTTTGAGGGTGAAATGATGTACTCAGCTGTACCTGTGTACCTAGCTCTTCATTGCACTGCCCTCCAAAACTGTGATGTAAATTATGTTCCCCTATCTGAAATAATGGACACGGGCACCCCATGAAGGTGAACAATCTCGCGGATATAGATCCTTGTTAACCGCTCCAAAGAATAAGTAGTGCCAACTGGAATAAAATGTGCGGACTTGGTCAACCTATCCACAATCACCCAAATGGCATCAAATTTCCTTGAAGTCCATGGAAGCCCCACTACAAAAATCCATGATAATACGCTCCCACTTCCATTACGGAATATCAAATCTCTGAAGTAATACGCCCGGTCTCTAATGCTCATATTTTACCTGCTGACAATTTAAACACCGAGCTACAAACCCAACTATGTCTTTCTTCATTTTTCTCCACTAATAATGATGTCTCAAATCCTGGTACATCTTTGTGGCACTCAGGTGAATAGAATACCACGAACTGTGGGCTTCTTCAAGAATCAATTCACGTAGCCCATCTACATTTGGCATAGAAATTCGTCCCTGCATCCTCTACATCATGTCATCTCCGATAGTGACATCCTTGGCATCACCGTGTTGAACTGTGTCCTTCAAGACAAGTAAATGGGGATCATCATACTGGCGTTCCCTGATGCGGTATTATAAGGAAGACCGAGAAACCATACAAGCTAGGACCCGACTGGGCTCCAAAATATCTAATCTCACGAACTGATTGGCCAAGGCCTGAACTTCCAATGCTAATGGCCTCTCTACCACTAGTAGATATGCTAAACTACCCAAACTCTCTGCCTTTTGACTCAATGCATCGGCCACCATATTGGCCTTCCCTGGATGATACAAAATGGTGATATCATAATCTTTAAGTAACTCTAACCACCTCCGCTGGTGTAAATTGGGATCCTTCTGCTTGAACAGATGTTGTAGACTCCGATGGTTAGTATAGACCTCACAATGGACGTCGTACAAATAATGCCGCCAAATCGTTAAGGCATGAACAATAGTTGCTAATTCAAGGTCGTGAACAGGATAATTCTTCTTATGCACCTTCAACTATCTGGACGCATAGGCAATCACCCTACCATCTTGCATTAACACCGCGCCAAGACCAATACGTGATGCATCATAATACACCGTATAAGATCTTGTACTTGTGGGCAACACCAATACTGGGGCAGTATTCAAAGTTGTCTTGAGCTTTTGGAAGCTCTCCACACACTCTTTGGACCATCTAAACGGAGCACCCTTCTGGGTCAATCTGGTCATAGGTGCATCTGCAATAATACCTTGCCAAGCCAAGAAAACTCCGAATCTCTGTAGCTGAGGATGGCTTAGGCCAATTCTGAACTGCCTATATCTTTTTTAGATCCACCTTTATTCCTTCACTGGACACTACATGTCCCAAGAATGCCACTGAACTAAGTCAGAACTCGCACTTAGAGAATTTGGCATAAAGTCCCTCCTCCCTCAGCCTTTGTAATACAATACCCAAGTGTTGCGCATGCTGCTCCTGGCTACGTGAGTACACCAGGATATTATCAATAAATACCACGCCAAATGAATCAAGATATGGCTGAAATACACTATTCATTAAGTGCATAAATGTTGTTGGGGCGTTAGTCAACCCGCAAGACATCACAAGAAATTCATAGTGGCCATAACGAGTCCTGAATGCCATCTTTAGAATATCTGAATCCCGAATTTTCAATTGATGATAGCCAGACTGCAAATCAATTTTTGAAAATACCTTGTCACCCTGTAGTTGATCAAATAGGTCATCAATACGAGGCAATGGGTACATATTTTTCACTGTAACCTTGTTCAGCTGTCGATAATCAATACACATGTGCATGGAGCCATTCTTTTTCTTGACAAACAAGACTGGAGCATCCCATGGTGATACACTAGGCCGAATGAAGCCTTTGTAAAGCAACCCTTGCAATTGCTCCTTTAATTCCTTCAATTCTGTCGGGGCCATCCGATATGGTGGAATAGAAATTGGCTGAGTGCCCGGTTCCAAATCAATACCGAAATCAATATCTCTGTCTAGTGGCATACCTGACAAATTTGTAAAAAACACATCCGGGAAGTCTCACACTACCTGTACATAATCAATAGTAAGAGTGTCTGCATTAACATCTCTTACAAAAGCCAAATACGATAGATACCCCTTCCCAACCATTCGTTGGGCCTTTAAGTAAGAAATTACTCAACTGGGTACATATTCTAGATAACCTTTCCACTCGACCTTAGGAAATCCCGGTATCTCCAACGTCACAATTTTTGAGTGACAGTCCAGGATAGCATGATATGGAGACAACCAATTCATACCCAAGATCACATCGAAATCAACCATACTGAGCAATAGGAGATCAACTCTAGTCTCTAGTTCCCTAATAGTTACCACACACGACCGATACATATGGTCCAAAATAATAGTATCACCCACCAGTATAGATACACAAACAACTAAAGTTAAGGACTCACGGGGCATATCTAGATAATGAGCAAAATATGATGAAACATATGAATACGTGGAACCGGGGTTAAATAATATAGAAGCTTCCATTTGGCATACTGAGACAATACCTATGATTACTACATTTGAAGCAATGGCATCTGGTCTGGCAGGGAGCTCATAGAATTGGGCATGACCGCTGCCTGACCGGCCTCCCCCTCTAGGGTGACCTCTAGCTAACTGGGCCCCACCCCGAGCTGGCTGGGCGGGTGGTGAAGCAACTAGTGCTGGAGTCATAGTCTAACTCCTCTACTGCATTGGAACTCCCTGGCGCCGAGGACATTGCCTCCACATATGTCCAAACTCACCGCACTCAAAGCAACTCCCCGATATTAATGGTGGGGACTGAGGAGAACCCCGAGCATTAGGATAACTAGCCGAAGAACCTGCCATAGATGAGCCCTAAACCGATAGATCACGGAACTGACTCTAAGCTGGAAGAGCACTGAGAGATGAGTGACCCTACTGAGAACTATGAAAACCATGGCTAGATGATGCACCACGGTGAGTTGAATGAGCCGTCTGAGCATGTATGAAATGATGACCCCTGTCGTGGTGAGACCGGCCTCCAGAAGGAACATCACCAAATCTATTAGACCCACGAGGCCTCTTGGCCTCCCTCTCTACTCGTTCCTGGCGACGAACTGACTCTATATCCCGAGCAACATCAACAACCTCTTCAAAGGAAACACTAGTCACCCTCTCTCTAGTCATAAGAATCCGCAGATGATATGCGAGGCCATCAATGAACCTCCTAATTCTCTCTCTGTCTGTGGGAACCAACCAAACAGCATGATGGGCTAATTCAGAAAATCTCATCTCATATTGCATCACAGTCATATTATCCTGACGCAACTGCTCGAACTGTCTTCTTAGCTCCTCTTTGTGGGACTGCGGTACATACTTCTCCAAGAAGATAACAAAGAACTGCTTCCATGTAAGGGGCACTGCACCAACTAGCCTACGCCTCTCATAAGCCTCCCACCAAGTGAAGGCAGCTCTAGAGAATTGAAAAGTAGTGAATGAGACCCCACTGGTCTCCAAAATACCAGCAGTACGAAGAATCCTCTGACATTTATCCAAGAAACCCTGGGCATCCTCGCCCTCTACACCGCTGAAAGTCGGGGGCTGAAGTCTACCAAACATCTCCAATCTACGATGCTCATCATCAGGCATGGCATGAACCACATAGTCCTGAGGAGCTGGAACCGGCTGAGCTAGTGGTACCCCCGGTGTCTGAAGTCCCTGCACCACCTGATCTAGAGTACGAGCAACAGGGGTACGAGTACCTCCCTCAGCCTGAGTAGTGGCAGGTGCGGCCTGAGCCGAAACCACCTGGGCAAGACCAGTGCAAACATTTAGTATTTGGACCAAAGTCTCCTGAAGGCCTAGAATTACAATAGGCTCAGCTGGTTCTTGAGCTGGCCTTGTCAGCTCAGCTCATCAATATCCGGAATCTCCTCATGAGCTGGAGCAACTGGTGGTCCTACAGGTGCTGCCCCAATTATTGAATGTGACACACCTTGGCCCCGGTCTCTACCATGACCCCGGCCCCTCGCGGCCCTAACTGGTCGTACTGATGGTTGTCCATCTGATCCGGAAGTACGTGTCCTCACCATCTGTGAGAGAATGGAATAACAAAAATTTTAATTTCCGGAATTAACAAGTTCGAACGACAAAACACAAGAAGGTGAAATTTTTCCTAAGGGCTCTACAACCTCTCGAAGATAAGTACAGATGTCTCCGTACCGATCTGCAAGACTCTACTAAACCTGCTCATGACTCGTGAGACCTATGTAACCTAGGGCTCTGATACCAACTTGTCACGACCCAAAATCTAACATGTCGTGATGGCGCCTATCATGGTACAAGGCAAGCCTCAACTCAACATCTCAACACAGTAGAACTTTTAAATAAAGGTGAAAGCAGTTAATATTAAATAAAACCTTTTAGAATAGAATATAACTCCAAAAGTACTAAACAATCCATCCCAAAACCCGGTGTCACTGAGTACATGAGCATCTAAATGATAACAACATCCGACTAATAAAACACTGTCTAGAAATATAGAACAATACAACATGAAAGGAATGGAGAATCAAGGTCAGCGAACGCTATGCAGCTACCTCAATAGTCTCTTGAGTCTGACTCCTCAATCAGCAACCATCGTGACCAGAAGTATCTAGATCTGTACACGAGGTACAGGAGGTAACGTGAGTACACCAACTCAGTAAGTAATAGAAATAAATAAGGAACTGAGAAGTAGTGACGAGCTATGCAAATACAGTTATCTCAATAACTTTCAAATAAGAGTAGTCATACTTGCAATTTAACAGTTTAAGTCACATCAGTACGTACTCAATAAACCAGATATCAAATTTGACTGAGCAATAAATAATATCTTTCAATAATTTTCAAAACGGTGATATGACATCTGCGATGCAATAGTAATAGAGTAAATGTATTTTCTTAGAATAATAGTTACTCTGTCCTCCCATTCACTCCAACATCACAATCATTCATTCCTCACATTCACTCATTCCTCCTAGTCGCTCAGCACTTGCCACTCGCACTCACTAGGTACATGTGCTCACTGGGGGTGTGTATAAACTCCGGAGGGGCTCCTTTAGCCCAAGCACTATAACAAGCCATCTCGTGGCATAAATCAATCAGGCTTTCGGCCTCACTCAATCATAAATCAGTAATAACATGATGCGGCGTGCAGCCCGATCCCATAAATATCCTTATAAAAATCAGGCCCTTGGCCTCACTTAGTCATAAATCTTTCCAGTCTCTCGAGCTTTCAGAGATCATATAAGCAGCCCAAACAGAAATAATGTCATGTATCAACAATGAACAACAAGAGACGGAGGCATAATAAGCAAGAAAAAGCTATGATTGAGTACAAAACAACAATTAGAAGCTAATTCAGCAAGTACACGACCTCGCAGTTCTCAACAGTGATCACATAAGGCCTAATCATGGTTTCTAACATGAAGTACAGTAAATTCCATGAAAACATAGGGAACATGTATTGAACAGTAGGACAATTGATTCCACAGTCTCACGGGACGGACCAAATCACAATCCCAAATGGTGCACGCCCATACGCCTGTCACCTCCAAAATAGTCATACGACACAATGTTTGAGGTTTCATACCCTCAGGACCAAATTTATAATTGTTACTTACCTCAATCCTAGCAAAATCCTACTCTGAAATGCTTTTGTCTCTCAAATTGGCTTCCGAACGTCCCGAATCTAGTCACAATTAATTTATTTTAGTCAATACAATGTATAGGAATCAATTTCGTATGAAATTACTAATTTTCTAACAGAATTCGAAATTTAACTCAAAAATTGCTCGTGGGGTCCACATCTCGGAATCCGACAAAAGTCATAAAATCTGACAACTCATTCAATTACAAGTCCAACCATACCAATTTTACCAAATTCCAATAACAAATCGACCTCCAAATCTTAAATTTAAGGTATCGAAAATCTCTACCAATTTCAAATATAGGAGCATATCTCGAGGTTCTACGTCTCAAATCATAAATCTACAGGTGAAAATTTTCTTTTAAAAATCAAAATCCAGCTCGTTTTTCAATTAGAAATCTCATATTTGAATACCCATGTCAAAAGAATAATAACTATGTCATAAAATAGTTTAATACCTTGAATGAAAATTAACTACAATCGTAGTTTGTGATTGTTGGGCATACTGTTGCATCATCTGAAAACCGCGAACTGGAGGACATTTAATTTGCCTTGAATCTCAAGAGAACAAGGTTGAAAAGCTTCGTAATAGATTCAATGGCCTTTGGAATACCACTTTCAAAAGTTCCCTTTAACTTTTCCCATCATTATCATATTCTCCTTTAATATATAAAGCATCTCTAATTGGGAGTACTATTACGTGACATATGGTGCATCACAACCCAACTTGATGTTCCACTTTAGTAAAAAAATATTTTCTTTTCCATATTGCCAAGTGGGGTCCTAATTTCATGTGCATAAAATAAATGAGTTGAATTAATTATTCATACACTTCACCGGCTTTCATGCTAGATATTCTAGCTTATTACCACTTAAATAAGTGGAAAACATATTTCCCCACCAAGCACTAGACTATTGTCAGAAAAGTACTTTAATTTGCAACCATACGAGCTTATTAGTTGATCATTCACCAATTAATTATTCATATATAAAAACAAATACAAAAATTCGGGTACACTCCTAAGCCCGAAATTACCATACGGAGCTAATATATTATTAAAAAAAATTCATCCCGGGGTCGTTTACACATATTTTCACCGTCTGGTCAATATGTTCAACTTTAGCTTTCTTCTTGGAGACTAAGTATCTCAATTTATTTCAAAACATCACCGGACCCGAACCACTTACCCCGGCAAGTCACATAATGACTATAAAGTATGAGTTTAGCAGTAAATGGGGAATCATGGTTGTATATTTAAAACGACTGGTTGGGTCGTCACATTGATACATATAGTAATGGGTTAATCAACGGATAATATGGATATACATACCTTCTTGAATATGATCAATTTTGGGAGAATTCCTAATCTTTCAAACTTGAGAAACCCCTAATTTGAGTCTTTACAAATACTAATTTTCATGAACGTGCGTTGCACGTTAATAATGGTACGTAATGATTTAGCCAAAAACATATGTATAATAAAATAATCATTTAAATGCCAAAAATATCATTATATTAGCATTATGAACTCGAAATGATTGGAAATTATCTTAATTTGCAAAAATGATCAATTTAGTCATGATAATTGGATAATATCATTATGTAGTTATATTTTAATAATGCGTAATATGATGATATATTACCTAAGATTTTTTCATAGCTGATGTTTTTTGTGTATGTTCCCTTCTGACGCTTTGATTGCTCCGTCGGCACCAGAACTCTAATTGTCGATGTTGGTGTTTCTCTTGAAAGTGCAGCATATAGTTCTCTGTGCAAAAAAATATGTTGCGGTAAATACAGACCAACGCTTGGGATTGTTTACGTTTGCGCTTTATTTATTTTCGGACAAATTGAAAAGAACATCCTTCGTTTTCTGGAGGCAAAAGTTGAATTCTAGAGAATGCATACATGGAAGTACATTTACCATCATAATTTTTGCATGTATGATATTATTGTTAAAACCTCGACATACTATCCTTATACCATTACATAAGCCATTTGATAAATTTAAGTTTCTTAGTAGCATGGTAGGCACATCTTTTTCAAGACCAATATGTATGCAATGAAAGATCAATTTTAACTTTCTCTATTATATACATACATGACACTAACATACATAAGAAATAATGAACTTGACAACACGACATACAGTATGGTGGAAGGTCATTTGGTGTTCAAGTATATAAGTATTCTTCTTGGTAGTAGTTGTTGATAATATCTTCTACTAAGCCGAAATTGAGAAATATTTTTCTTTTACCATTGAACTTCGGAATCAACATCTCATTTAGTTGATCAATATATTCATTACTGCTAGCTAAGATATCTATTTTTTAATCATCCTTATTAAGCAGTCTTCACCAATAATATTATTATTGGGCTTGATAACTAATTATTTTAGAAGAAGGACCAAATCATCTTTTATTATGTGATATTCTTTTTTTTTGACATGAAGCAAGAAATCACTAAATGTTGGATATGTCTTGCTCTCATATATCTTGTTAGCTGAATTTTTTTTATTTAAAGCATAAGTATGGTTTTGTCAAGCTTGCAATAACAGTATTTGCTCTCGTCAATTTTGAAACTATTGGTAGTATCTAGAATTCACCTTAAAAATTATTACTTTTTCACTAAATGATTCGTCGATATCTCTTACATATCTGCGGGTTCGATCGTCTGACACTTGATCATAGGCACTTTATCTCAAATTGCCAACTTTTATTTTCTTATCAATTTTGTGCCACCACTCTACTTTGACATATTTGTGAGAGTTGTTTCAATTATTTGCAGAAATATGTTGAATCAAGAGTGAGTTATAGGACACGACTTGTTACTTTTTTAACGCTATATTCCTTTTGATCTGAAAATTGCAAGTAATACACGATATGTGAATGATATTCTACTTCCTCCAGGGCCTTCTACAAAAAACAAGCGCTCCACCGGATTAACTCTTTGCAGCATAATCTTGAAAGCTTGTTCTTATTTAGGATTTAGCTTTAATTGTGCGTTGAAATCTTCCCTTAAGCATTTGTATAGTCTTTTGTTCAATGGTTTCTTTACATTTTGATGCAACATTATCATCTCGACCCTGATCAAATTTAGATAAATCATATTTCTTATCACTCTTGCCCATGCTCTGTATCTATTATTCTAGTAACCTTCTTTATTTTACAGCTTCCTTGAATGTTTGGCATTCTCTTTCATTAACAATTTTTCAACGAAAAGTATCGTCTGACATAATTCAACAATAATCACAAATAATGCCTCACGTTCTCTATGGTTAGCTGCATATTCAAGAAAACAATAAATAAAATTTATAAAAAGATATAAGAAAATCGTTAGATAAAATGTTAAATTCCTTTCAAGTCTCAATTTGATAAATTAAGATTTATTTGGTTTCCTTTTTGCCCATGTCTTCACTAAGTGTTCCAGACATAATACTCTGAAAATTCTTTGTTTAAATGCATATGTCCTTCATCATATTTTGAGCATGTCTTGAAATACTCATTCAATATGGTTCGCTTGATATTATTCAATGCTATAACAGTTTGCAAATTTTGTCTTTTTTATTAGTATACTAAGTAAAGATATTTATTAGAATTCGTATATTTGATAATTTAATAAGAATTTTATAATGACCCGGCTGGTCGTTTCGAGAGTTATAGACCTGTTTCCCTATTTCTTGCTTCTTTTGTGTTCTTTAGCTGTATTTTGACTTACCGAGTTAGTTAGTTCTGGTCCGGAGTGGTATTGAAGTAAATTGAGACACTTAGTCTCTTACAAGAAATTTTAAATTAAAAGTTGACCGGATATTGACTTTATGTGTAAACAATATCGAATTTGAATTTTGATGGTTCTGTTAGCTCCGTTAGGTGATATTGGACTTAGGAGCGCGTCCGGAATGTGATTTGAAGGTCAGTGGTAGAATTAGGCATGAATTGACGAAAGTTGGAATTTTGGCAATTTTGGTCGGCAGTGAAAATTTTGACACTACTACAAAAAAGGTCTTTGGCGGCAATTATTTAGCGGCAATAAGGTAATTGTCGCTAATGAATTATTTAAGCTGAAATATTAGCGGCACATGATCAATAGCCACTAAAATATATCCCTTTACCGATAATAAAAAAAATTACCGCTAAAAACACTAATTGAAATCAACTTTTTTATTACTTTAACTTTCCCTCGTACAAAAATAAAATATTTCCCTCTAATTTTTTTGGACAAGAAATTCCATTCCCTCCGAGTAGAAAACAATAGGAAAACATATTCTCTTCAAAATTAAAGACGCAGCCAGTCGCCAATTTGAAGATGAGGCACGCCAAGCAAAACCTACGTGCTTAAAATAACGCGGCAACAATCTCCGCCGGTTCGCCTGCCACGGTCTCCGACCATCCCCAGGTAAATTCTATTCTTACCCAGCAGGTTTCTTGAAATCGATTTACAATTGATTTTGGGTTGATGCTGCTCGAATATGCTCAATCGTCGCTGTCAAAGTATAACATTTTTTGTGTTTGCTAAGTTGTTTGTGATATCTCCCTACTTGATGTTAGATTGATAGTCGATTGATTGAATTGATTATTCCTCTGTTACTCTATTGTTGTTTGTTTGTCTGTTGTATTTTTGTTGTTTGCTCTGATTGATAGTTGTTTGTGATATTTGCTGCCTTTTTGTGTTTACAATTTCTGTTTTCTTGTTTTTGAATTGGTTCCTCTGTATTTTTTCTAAGGCTACTGCTAGGCGGAACTAAGCTAATAAGATTCTGGGTTGTGGCCTCTCTATTTTCTGCCTTTTTTAATCTTTCTTGAACCCTGCTCTTCCTACTCATCTGAATTATTTTGGTCAGTGGACATGATTCTTTGTAAGAATCTGTTTATTCTAAAGCAAAACAAGCAAAAGTAATGTAGTGTCTTACAAGATGTAAAGTCATATGCTAAGGTAATTACATAGCCCCTATTACCAGAACCGAGCAAGGAATACTCAATCCTGATAGTACATTCTGAACTAATTAACCAATGATAAAGAAATATAATAATGTAGTAAGGTTCTTGAATAAAAACTAGCACTAAGCATGCCATGATAGCATCTGTATAACTCATTTCCCAGTAACTCTGTCTTCCGTGCATAATGTAGATCATGATCTGTCCCATAGTGTATTTACCCTGCTGCATATATTGAAGGAAAAGGCATAGAAGCAGAGCAGGTATCATGTAGGCACTCGCACAAGCAGTTATTAACATAGCATTTGTTGTAGGTATAGTACTTGGCCTCCGGTTTTGTATACATGTTCTGCTTGTAATCTTGATGTCTCAGCAGATACATGAAAGTATGTCCCTAATTGCAGATGTAGCTCGTATTTCTCCCCTGCTGTGTCCAAAATTCCGCAATCGTAGTCGAATAGGTGATCACGTCCTGTTTGCCATGAAGATCGAGTGTTCCCCAGTAGGATCTTGATGTAAACTTTATGTGGCACCATTATTGGGATGTAGTATGAACAAAGTGCACTGGGTAATGACTTCCCAATACCTTCATTGTTCCCATTTTTAGATGCCATAAATATGAACATGTCACGTACCAAAATCTAGGCAGCCTTCGCGTGTATGTACAGGAATAATTATTCCTTATTTGTACCTTCACATTAGAGGAGCTCATGCTTAGTTTAGGGACTAGGGGTCTAGGGTAGTACCTTCTCTCAATATATGTGATATATTAACATTACACCTCTGCATTACTTTTTTGATCTCCTCCATATGATTAGCAATATTCCAAGGAGCAATCCATAGTCCTTCCAGTACATTCTTCAACAGTAACGAGCCAGTTTGTAGCATCACCTGGACATATTGGTGTTAAACATAGAATATCAAGGCTTCAAGATAGCCAATGCCTCCGCCTCATTGTTTGTTGTCTCATGTATTTCCTTCCCTCTTGCATAATGTACATCTCCCTCTTCATCCCTCAACACAAAACTTATGGAACTTCTTCCTGGTTTTCCTCGAGATGTTCCATCTGTGTTTACTTTGATCCACCCTGGGCTAGGAAACCCCCATGTCACCTTAGTCACCTTCAAAGCTGGAGTGTACATCTTCAATTTTTGAATTAAATCTGGCCATTCGTGGGGGATATTTTTGATGCAAGGTTTCCTTAATTTACAAGAGATTGTAAAGTAGTGGAAACTTGGTATATGACTCTACTGATAGTCACCACATCACCATATTTATAGCTATTTCGTCTTTTCCACAGCTCCCAAATGATAATCGCTGGCAGTGCTTGCAAAATAGGTTGAAATCTTGGTGTACTGTCTTTTTTATAGCTATTCATCGCAATTACAACCATATTTATAGCTATTCATCGCAATTACAGTGTCTATTTTTATTTATAATATAAACTAACTTATATTCCGTTTAGCTCTAGAACTAGATAAATTGATTCTTAATGAACAAAAGAGTTATAAACAAATTGGTAAAAATGAATTATATATCTTGAGAGTCAACAAATAGGAGTAGTAAGTTTTGAAAGTTTTAAAATATATGATATATGGTTCTTCTATAAATTATAAGTTTAATCATTCTATTCTAGAAAATTTAATGAACCAATATGTGAAAACTACAGAAGAAATTAGAGATAGTTTAACTGTTTGATAGTTTTAATTGTTTAAATGATAGTTTTAATAAACTTCCGTTTAATAGTTTTAATTGTTAAAATGATAATTTTGAGCCATGGAATAACCTGCTAATAGGATGGTTATTTTATTTTAACTACTTTTCATTAATTCCACCTTTTTACTAACACATTTTTAGCTCTTTCAGTAATTATAGAAAAGAAAAGACTATCTTGAACGTCATGGACAATCCTACAAATAAAAGATGGATGTATTGTGAAAGAGTTAGTAAAGAATATTTGGATGGAGTAGAGGATTTTTTAAATCATGCCTTTTCTGAAAAACAAGATGGAGAAAAAATTGCATGTCCTTGTACGGAGTGTGTGCTTATCCATCAAGTAAATCGGGCTACAACATGTGATCATCTTATGGTTAATGGTATTATATCATCATATGATACTTGGTTTTGCCATGGTGAGTCTCTAAAGGGATCAAACAATGTTGAAGCAAATAATCGCAGTCAGTCAACTCAAAGGGGCGATGATATGAGAGGAATGATACATGATGCATTTGCAGGTATTACACAGTTCATGGATACTGACGTTAGTGAATTAGGTGGTATAGAGCAAGACTTACAAGAGAATACTGCTCATCCATCTGGAAATCAACCTCATCCAGAGGTGGATAAGTTTGAACGGCTCATGAAGGAGGCAAATTAAGAATTATATCCTGGATGTAAGAAGTTTAGCAAACTCTCTTTTTGCTGCATTTGTATCGCACAAAATGCATGTTCAAGTAGTCAAATGAATCTTTTAATTCTTTGCTTGGACTATTGAAAGATGCGCTGCCTGAAGGAGAAAAATTACCTCCTTCTTTCTATGAGACCAAAAAGATAGTTGAAGGCTCGGGCTTAAAGTATTAAAAAATCCATGTTTGTCCCAACGATTGCATGCTTTTTAGGAAAGAGTTTGCTAATAAGAATGTCAATAAATGCAAAGTATGTGGGGCTTCTAGATGGAAAAATGACGCCAGAAAAATTCCAGCCAAGGTCTTAAGGTATTTTCCTTTAAAACCAAGGTTACAGAGATTGTTTATGTCTTCAGAAACTTCTAAAGCAATGCAATGACATCATGATGAGCGCACCAAAGATGGAGTTTTACGACATCCTGCAGATTCTGAAGCTTGGAAAAATTTGGATAGTAAATATCCCGAATTTGCTGGAGTTCCTCGCAATGTGCGCCTAGGATTAGCTTTTGATGGATTTAATCCATTTGGCACAATGTGAACTGTTCACAGTACATGGCCAGTGATTTTAATGCCATATAATCTTCCACCATGAATGTGCATGAAACAAGAGTTCTTCATACTGTCTTTACTTATTCCTTGACCAAAAGCGCCTGACAATAATATTGATGTCTTTTTGCAACCTTTAATCGAAGAGTTAAATGAATTATGGGATGTCGGGGTAGAAACATATGATGCCTCTACTAAGGAGATATTTCAAATGCGAGTTGCTCTCATGTGGACTATAAATGATTTTCCAGCATATGGTAATCTCTCTGGATGGTGCACTTATGGTCGGTTTGCCTGCCCTTTTTGTAACATAAATACTCAATTTAGATGGCTCAAACATGGCAGGAAGTTTTGTTATATGGGGCATCGACGCTCTTTTGGTTTGTTAAGATTAATGAGATACATTATGTTTTTTTTAAGTAATATTAATATATTTCATTATTTGAGTCATATTATGTACGAATGTAGTAATTGTTATTAATTGTGGCTAAACTATTTATAATTGATGTAAAACAAATGTTGTTAAAGATATTGACTTTTAGCGAAAATTTAGTTAAACATATTAGCCATTAGAATGGAAGATAAAAGGGCAAACTAAGATGCTTTCAGAAGGGATACTATGGTCATTTTAATTGCCACAAAATAATTGCCATTAAAGATGCAAACTTTTATTGGCAATTATTTTTAATTTAGCGGCTATAAAAAATAGATGCTAAAGAAGTATAATTAGCCGTTTGGATTGGATTTAGTAGCCATTATAATTTTCACAAACAATTACTTTAGCGGCAATTATTTGAATGTGGCGGCTATAATAGTGGATGCTAAAGAAGTATAATTAGCCGTTTTGGATTGGATTTAGTAGCCATTATAATTGCCGTTTACCAGCTTTTAGCGGTAATAAAATATACCGTTTACCAGCTTTTGCGAGAATAGCCGCTAAAGGCTTTGCCGACCCCAGTTTCAGCGGCAAAAGGCTAATGGTCGGTAAAAGATATAGCGGCTATTACTATTGCCGCTAAAGCCATTTTCTATTGCCGCTAAAGGTCTTATTTGTAGTAGTGTGATATCGGGGTCAGAATAGAATTCCAGAAGTTAGAGTAGGTTCGCGGTATCATTTCTGACTTGTGTGCAAAATTTGAGGTCATTCGGACGTGATTTGATAGGTTTCGGCGTCGTTTGTGAAATTTAAAAGTTTAGAAGTTCTTAGGCTTGATACAGAGGTAATTTGGTATTTTGATGTTGTTTTGAGCGATTCGAAGGTTCAACTAAGTTCGTATGATGTTATGGGATGTGTTCGCATGTTTGATTGAGGTCCCGAGGGCCTCGGGTGAGTTTCAGGTGGTTAACGGATCATTTGTGACTTTTGGAGGATGGCTGATAGCTGCTGGTGTTTTCTTCTGGTTTCCTTATACGCGATCGCATAAGTATGTTCGCAATTGTGTAAGCTTATTTGGGGCAGAGGTGAGGTTTTTCTACGTGATCGCAGAGTTAAGGACGTGATCGCGTACGTGTGTGAGGTCGTGCTTCACGAACGCATAACCAGTGTCGCGTTCACGTAGGAGTAATAGAGCTGAAGAGGAGGTGAGGTGATTGCCCTACGTGATCGCGTGAGGTAGGATGCGATCGCGTAGGTTTGTGTGGTAGTGGTTCGCGAACGCGTATTGACTTTTGCGTTCGCGTACAGCAAATATGTGGGGCAGTCTGTTTGTGCTTCGCGATCGCGATGAAGGATATCTGGGCATCAATGTTAAATTTCAAAATCGAGGGTTTGAACCCATTTTTCATATTTTGGGCTAGAGACCACGTAATTAGGCAATTTTTAAAGGAAATTTCAAAGAGGTGATTGGGGTAAGTGTTTCTCACTTAATTTTGGTGAAATTCTATGATTGTATCTTGATATCTATCATCTAAATTGGGAATTGGGGTCAAAAAATTTGGGGGGGGGGTGGAAGAGTTCTTGAGAGAGTAATTTGGGGATTTGAGGGACCAAATGATATCGAATTTTGATGAAATTGGTATGGGTAGACTCGTGAGTGAATGAGTTTTCTAGTTTTATGATTTTTATCGGATTTCGAGACGTGGGACCAAGGGTCGGGTTTGAGTGAATTTCGGGATTTAGCCTATAATTTGGTATTTTTCTTGTGGAATTGGTTCATTTAGCCTATATTGATCGTATTGTATTGCTTGTTGCCAGATTCGAGATGTTTGGAGGCCGATTTGAGAGGCAAAGGCGTCGCGGAGTAGGATTCTTGGCTTGGTTGAGATAAGTAACGCTTTCAAACTTGGTTATGAGGGTTCGAAACTCTGAATTACGTGTTATATGATTAGTATTAAGGTGACACACATTCCAAGTGACGGGTGTGGGAGTGTGCACGGTGAGAACCGTGACCTGATTCATTCCATGGCACCGTTTAATGACTATTTCTTGTTGATATCCGTATTTCCATTATGATTAAGTAATTGAGCTGTAAACATGCTAGAGATCATGTTAGAGTTTCATGCCGATACTTTTGGGACCCCTAATGGTCGTTTTCTTGATTTCATTTTACTGATTTCACTGTTATTTTGTACTCAGTCATGTTCATGCATTTCATATCATATCTCAGTCTCAATTGTCATTATTAGCTTGACATATCATTGTTTTCGAACTAGTTTCCATGATATTGTGAGCTCGTGAGTGAAACTGAAGAGTGATGACTGAGCGAGGCCGAGAGCCTGATTATGAATGACAGTTATGGGGTAGGGCTGCACGTTGCAACAGTTATATTGATTATGATAGTGCTTGGGCCTTAGGAGCCCCTCCAGAGTCTGCACACCCACAGTTGGTGCGGATGATATTATTGAGGGATGGATCTTCCCTGGACATGGATCTTGTCCGAAGTATTGATACCTGGAGATGGATATTTTCCACAGGGTTGGAATAGCCTTCCTCGGTACTGAGTGACTGTTGTCAGTGATGTGTATATATTTCGGGATGGATCTTCCCTAGGCCGGATCGCCATATACAGTACCTAGTGGTTGAACACTTGAGAGTGGAATTACATCGTGCATTTTATACATTCTGTGCATTGGCGCGTAAAGGATAACTGAACTATATATATATATATATATCACATTGTCCAGATCTGTATTTACTTTACTGTTTGAGCTGAATATTTGAATTGAAAGCATGCTTACTTTTTTATATAGTTTACTATTGTTTACCTGTTGAGGTTAAGTTTGTTACTGCCTGTCAATCTATAGTTTGGACTTGTTACTTACTGAGTTGGTGTACTCATGTTACCCCTACACGTTGTGTGTAGATCTAGGTATTTCTGGCCACGGTAGCGGTTGCTGATTATTTTATGTTGTTGATCACTGGAGATAGTAAGGTAGCTGTTTGGCGACGCAGCCCTGCTTTCTTCTTTTGTATCTTCCCCGTAGTTGTATTTCGGACTTATTTCCCAGACTATGTTAGTCCTGTTGTTATCAGAATAGTTGTAGTTGTGGCTCATGACTCAGTGGCATCCCCGATGTTTGGGGCTTTACTTTCCGCATTTCTATTTCTTTTGAGTTCAACTCTTATTTCCTTTATGAAATTTTGCTATGCAAAATGTCTTTTGGCATACCCTTGATGAATTATTGTAGCATTATGATAGTCGATTGACCTAATTCTATTGATAGGCGTCATCACGATAGGTTTGAGTTTATGGTCGTGAAAAATTTATAGTAATGTATACCTTTTGTTAAAGTTATAATACCAACTAACTTAATTTTATCTAAATGCGGATAGCTAGTTCAAATAAAAGAATGATGTGACCCAACATTGATAATAATATAATATTTTTATTTTCATATCTAAAATAAGAGTTTGATTTAAATCTAAAATTTGGAGATAATTTCATGGCACAAGCATCTAAGTGAACATCGCGTAACAAAAAAATATACGAACAAAAGATAAGAGAAAAAAGAAACTGAGAAGAAAAGAAAGCAAAAAAAAAAAAAAAAAAGACCTATACGAATAAAGATTTATTTATTTGCAGCAAAAAAAAGAAAAACATCGTGAGGAGAATTTATCGAAAAAAGCAGAATTCATGAAAACGATCCTAAAATATAAGACCTGGTTCTGTTTTTTTTATTCTTCTAAACAACACTACCCTACAATATAATTTTGTAATATATAATGATTTACATATTTTTTGATTAATCATTATTTAAGAAAGGCTATATAATATTTTTGGTGATTATCATGGATGAAGTGGCTATATAATATTTTTGGTGATTATCATGCATTGAGTTGAATTTTCTTATTTATCCTAAATCCTAATGGATATTACTTTATCCTAAGCTGCAGCAACGTTGCCTTCCATTCTTTTAGGCGTTTGATCCCTATTCTACTACAAAGATACATCCGTGTATTATTCCAATTATATGCTTTCTTTATATATTTTGTGTTTAATATTTTAAGTCTATATTGGTATACCGGTATTGTATTAATGCTTTTATAATAATATAAATAGATAAAAGTTAAATCCATTAATTATGCATTGGCTATCCATTTTTAAGTGGATAACTAGTATTAGTACCTGTGCGATTCGCGGACACAAATATCAAATTATAATTTGAGTTATTGGAATTACCTTAAAAGTTAAAACTTCGAGATAACATGT